TTCACCGGACACGAGGTCCGCCGTGCCGAGGATGCCGGGCGGCGGGGTCGGTGACGAGGTAGAGCGAGTAGTCGGCGGGTTTCATCGGGGTGTTCATGGGAGAGGAATACGAAAAGGCAGCTGCTTGTTCAGCTCGCAGGGCTGAGGATGATGCGGTTGCGACATTTCTCGATGCCGCTCGGTGAGTTCGGGGGAGCCGACTCCAGCCGACTGATCCAACCGGGAACTTTACCACCAGAGGTAGAACAGGCAGAATATAAACGGATAGAGCAAGACAGTGTAAGGCTCATACATTTTTAGCCCTGGCAAAACCCTCAATCTCATCTGCTATAGCTGTACTTGTACATTCTTCTACCCATTGTGTAATCCCTCAATAAATCCACCCAAACGCCCAGGCTGTTTTGCTTGCCAATTCGCAGTCTTGCTGCGCATCATGACATATCAATAATTCCAGTCCATGTCTGCGACCGCCGCATTGCCCGTATCGCCAAACAGCCAGCTCGGGTCGGAGAACGCATCCGACCAGAACGCCGCGTCGAGATCCCGCATCATCGTGTCGGTCGCCATGGCCGGCCCCGCCAGCGCGCCGCCCCCAGACAGGCCCGGCGCCACAGCACTCGGCGCGGCACGGCTCGACGCAGCGTCGGCGGCGACGGCCGCGACCACCGTCAGGGCCGCACTCGGGGGTGCGGCCGGCGGCCTCGCTCAGGGCGTTGAGCTCCCGCGCCGCGAGGTGCTTCAGGTGGCTGATGACCTGCCGGTTGCGCTCGTAGGGGTCGAGGAAGCCTTGCGACTGGGACGACGAGCAGGCGAGCGCGTCGCCGGGCTGGGTGCCCTCGGCGCGCTTGGCGACGAGCTCGTCCATGTCCCGGATCTGCGTGTCGACCATGTGCTCGAGCGGCAGGTGGGCGTCGACGACGCGAATGTCCCATCCGGGCAGCTCCAGGGTGCGCAGCTTGAGGGCGACGAGCACGGCGAAGAGCCAGTCCGAGGCGTTGAGGTAGATGAAGCGCGGCCGCAGGTTCGACTCGGCAAAGCGAATGTCCATGAACGTCTTGGCCGCCGTCAGGCAGTTCCAGAGCAGGCCGAGGCGGTCGGTGTGGGGGATGAGGGCGCCGGCCTTCTGGCGCTCGGGCAGGCCGATTTCGTAGAGGAGAATCTCGGCAATGGCAATGTGCGAGAGCAGCGTCGAGTTGGTCTGCACGGCGGCCGGCAGCGTCGACTTGAAGAGGTCGAGCTGCTGCTGGAACGACTGCACGACCATGGTCAGCGGCACCTGCATCGACTGAAACGCTGCGCTGTCGGCGCACAGCGTCAGCGAGATGGTCTGGGCGAGCTGCTGGATGCGGAAGAGCTTGACGACGAGCACGTCGCTCGCGTGCTCGGCCTCGTCCTCGACGGCCTTGCAGCAGCCATCGAGGTGGGTCGTGTTCATAAAGGCGTCTGGCCTCTTGTTCGTGGTAAAGACGCTGCAGTCTGGCATCAGCATACGTGTGACCTTGGCAGATGCCGCTTCAGGCAGACAGGCTTCAGCTTACAGCGCGTTGAGGTAGTAGCAGCCCAGAAAGGCGCGCATGTATTCGAGGCTGCGGGCGGCGGCCTCGGCTGGCGTGAGACCGACCTGCGCGTCCCGGGCGCCGAGCGTCACGCTCATGGACCGCGCCAGGTACAGCAGGTTCGTCAGCTGGTAGCTGTTCATGTTGTAGCTGAACCTGTCAGGGTCAGCGGCGGCGCAGAGTTACGAGCCAGGCTTGAGACTGGCTAGGACGGGGCCTGAGCCTGGCTAGGACGGGGCCTGAGACTGGCTAGGACGGGGCTTCAACGGGGCTTCAACGGGCTCAAGAGTCTGCTCACCAGGCAACCAGCAGCTGCAGCCCCTGCAGCAGATCGAGGCTCTTGTGCGGCTTGGTCAGGGCCGCCTGGGCGACCTCGGCCAGCATCCTGTCGCCTAGGACGAGCTGGCGGTAGGCGTCGTAGTGGCTCGCGACGACGACGACGCCCTTGAAGAGAAAGGGGCGCGTCGAGGCCAGCGTCGCGGCGTCCATGTCGGGCGGCGGCAGCACAAAGGGGAACAGGTCCTGCATGATGCCGCGGTACAGGCGCAGGTCGGCGTCGGCCTGGGCGCCGGTGGGCCAAGTGATTTCGCGGGGCGGCGTGCCGCCGCGTCGGACGGCATGTGCGTCGCGCGCGTGCTGGGGCTGGGCAGGATCCTCGGGCCGAGGGCGGGCTCGCGACG